GTATCTGCAGGTATCTATAAGGCCGAATATTGGGAGGAGTAGCACCCTCTCGCAAGATTATCCAATGATCCCTCGCCCGGCACGGTGGCAACCCTTTTGGGGTATTGAAGACATGGTGGAATTGCTAGATAATCCCATCAAACCCCGAAGGCAGGGTCTGCGTTTCCAATTCTAGCTTCTCCTCTTCTACTGAGCACAATTCCAAGAGTACTCCCACTTCCCTTGCTTGACAGAAACAAGTCAAGGAGTGGAAACTTACTGGCGAGTAGCTGAGGGAAGGATCCCTAGTCCATTGGACCCAATTGGTCCCCTACTGGAATTTCATCGTGAAATTTGCCTAATCCACCCATAACTCACCTAAAGTGCTTAACCACGTAACTCCCAACACTACTTCTGCGCTGCCCAGTTCGAACGGGAAAAAGTCCTCGACAACCCAATGCCCCCGTATAAGTACCCGCACCCCTCGGCACACCCCGCTCTGTTGAAAACCCATGTCATTGCCCACTTGTATTTTATGTTGTACAGATAAGTCTGAGGGTAGTGCCAGCGTTCGCACCAACTCTGCCGAGATGAAACTGTGGGAAGCCCCACTATCTACCAGCATGATGACTTCCCTGTCGCCGATGGTTCCCCGTAGCTTCATGGTCTTCGCGAAAGTGAATCCCCGGAGTGAATTCAGTGACAAATCCACGTTACATTCGGTGGTTTCTTCCTGCATGGCCGCCATTTCAGCCGTCTCCTCCTAAGGGTCCTCTCTGTCGGTGTCTTCCCCGGTGATGAGAAGGACTTGGAGCTGTCAGAGCTTGTAGTGGTGCCCCGGGCTAAACCTTTCATCGCACCTAAAACATAACCCACGCGCCCGTTTCTGTTGTATCTCCTCATACGAGAGCCGTCAGAAAGCCGATCCGCCGCTTGCCGCCATACCGCCAGCCACCCCAGGTGCGTCTCGGTGTTTCTGTGCTATTGTGGAGTCTCACGGTGCTTGGGATCAAAGGGAACCCTCTGGAAACTCAGAAGCTAGGGTTGGTGTTATAACCCGGTTTACTCAAATACTCCACACAGTTGCTCCGACCCGCCCGACCCCTCTGTCCCGATCCACCGCCTCCAGCCTGTCTTCCACTTGTTGGGCTAAGTACATGGTCTCAGGCAAACTATTGGGCCTATGCATTTTTACTTCAGCCCGAATGTCCTCTCTCAGTCCATTAAGGAAGGCACTCTTGTATACCTTATCGGGAATTCCGCTCAAGGAAGCCGCCAATGACTCAAACATTTCTCAATACTCCGCCACCGTCCCACCTTGCCGGAGAGCCATCAGTCTCTCTGTGGGATCTCCCTCCCATGACAGGCTGAACCACTAAAGGATGGATGCCCGTAACTCCTGCCAATCTTCAAATGGTTCCTGCGAACCAAGCCATTGATACCAACTCAGGGCTCACCCTTCCATGCATACGGAAGCAACCAAAACCTTTTCGTCATCATCCACATCATTGACGGCGAAGTAATGCTCGGCCCGGAAAACCCACCCATGTGGGTCTTCCCCGTGGAACAACGGAAGTTCCATCTTCTTTCCCCGGTGTTCCCCGCGATTTCGCACTCTCTCCAACGACCTATAGCGGAGATGTCCATTTCTTCCTCTTGCTGGTTCCCTCCTCGGCGAACTGAACTCGCCCCGCACTGGCCGAACGGCCTCTCTCCTCGGAGGTGTCTGATCATTCTGTCCTCGCCCTGGAGAATTGAGTTCATCCCGTTGCCGTCTGGGCGGTGACTGGTCGATGCGTGCTTCCCTCACCATGAGTTCCTCTAGCCTCGCGATTGAGCCCTGGAGCCCGTCGATCTTGGCTCCCATCGAGGCTACCTCGCCCTGGACTTCCCCGAGTTGTGTTCCCATGGAAACCATGTCTTCTTGAAGTCGTGTTACCAGGCTCACCATGTCCCCAAAGGACTGCAAGGAATCCTGGAATCCGTTCAATCTTCTCTCTAGCAACGTGATTCGGTCCGATTGGTGAAAAAACAACAAAAACTAGAAAGAGGGATGGAGGAAAGTTCGAGGACTCCTCCAGACCTCCACAGACTCAATTCCTTTCTAAATTCTTGATGCCCTCCTCTATGCAGCCTTAGGCTATTTATTCTAATTCCCCGTAACTAACCCTCACCACTTGCCCTGGCCCTGTGGTAACCAAATTCCCAACCTGGCCTTGCTCATCCTTCTTCTTTCTTCTAGCGTAAACAAACCTGAGGGCTGGAGGTCTAACACGTTTTACTTTCTTAGATGAGGTATATAGGAAACTTGGGACTAGAGAAGGAGAGAAGAATATATATAAACTAACTAGGATATGAGAAAGGAAGTGTCGGGAACTAAATCAAGTGAGGTATGTTAAGGATGATATGGATCAGATTCTGACCAAAGATAAAGACATTAGGGAAAGGTGGAGGAGTTACTTTGAGAAGTTTTATAATGATGATCATGCGATAGAGTTTGATGATCTTAGGTCACAAGGAGAACCTAATGTGATGTATACAAGAGGAATCAGAGTCTCGAAAGTTAAAACTGCATTACGGAAAATGAAAAAGGGGAAGGCATGTGGGCCAGATGATATTCCAATAGAGGTGTGGATGGCGTTAGGAGATGTTGGGATTGTGTGGCTCACTAAGCTTTTTAATGAGATACTAAAGAAGAAACATATGCCTAATGCGTGGAGGAAAAATATTATTGTGTTGAATTGTAACAATTATAGGGGCATAAAATTAATAAGCCACACTATGAAACTTTGGGAGAAAGTTATTGAAAGGAGATTATGGGCCACAACTACCATCCCAGGTAACCAATTTGACTTCATGCCAGGCAAATCAACCACATAAGCCATTTTTCTTCTTAAGATGCTAATGGAAAGGTACAGAGAAGCCAAGACGAACCTACATATGGTATTCATAGATTTAGAAAAGGCATATGATAGGGTACCGAAAGAAGTTTTATGGTGAGTGTTAGAAAAAAGAGGAGTGCATGTGAGGTATATCAAGGTAATTAAGGACATGCACGATGGGGTGGTTACGAGTGTGAGAACTGCTGGAGGCTACAAGGCAGAGTTTCCCATTTGGATTGGCCTTCATTAAGGATCTGCTCTTAGTCCTTATCTTTCCACCATTGTGATGGATGAGCTAACAAGAGAAATCCAAGATAAAGCTCCTTGGTGTATACTTTTTGCGGACGATATAATTTTAGTTGATGAACATAGAGAAGGAGTTAACCGTAAGTTAGAACTGTGGAGACAGACTCTCAAGACGAAGGGATTTAAGTTAAATAGGACGAAAACTGAATACATGCAATGTAAGTTTAGTAACTCAAGTAATCAGAGTAATGGAATTTCTTTAGATGGTGTGGAGATTGGGGCATCTAGGAAGTTTAGGTACCTTGGGTCTATAGTGCAATACGAATGAGATATAGAAGAGGATGTTCAACATAGGATTAAGGCAGGATGCGTTAAGTGGAAGTATGCTACGGGACTTTTATGTAATGGCGAGATGCCTATTAAGTTGAAATGAAAGTTCTACAGGACTATTATATGGTAGTGAATGTTGGGCCATTAAGAGACAACATATATGTAAGATGAGTGTGGCAGAAATGCGTATGTTAAGATGGATGTGTGGCCATACGAGAATGGATCGCATAAGAAATGAAGTTATTCGTAGTAAAGTAGGTGTAGCACCAATAGAAGATAAAGTGCGCGAAGGCCACTTGAGGTGGTACGGACATGTCCAACGTAGACCGCTAGAAGCACCAGTTCATGCTTGAGAGGATATTCTTATACCTAATACTAAGAGATGAAGGGGTAGACTAAGAATTACGTGGACCGAAGTAGTTAGGAATGACATTCTAGATCTAGGCCTTCAAGAAAGTCTAATTTCGAACAAAGCTGCATGGAAAAGTGAAATCCATATAGCCGACCCCAATTAAGATGGGATTAAGGCTTGTTATTGTTGTTGTTAAATTCTTTTGATTTCTAAACTGTAAAATTATGATGACGTTTTTAGATTCAAGAGTTGCTAATGTATATCTTGAATTTAGTAGATCATTTGACTATTCAATTTAATAAGTTCTGTTACATTGTGGATTTTAGGTACGATTGTAGTTTATTTATTTAATTAATTTTTTTTTCTACAATCATTATACTCTTAATTATGTTTCAACTATTAAACTTTGACTTTTAATTGGATCTTTTTTATTGCTAGTTAGAAACTAATCAAGAGCTCCTTTTTTAGGATTCAATAAAAATTTTTGTTCTTAAGTTTCCTTTCTTAAGCTCCTTATATCCAGATTAGTATATTCGTAATTTATGTTAGACAAATAACAAAACTTCTACCAAACAAGACAATAGATAAAAATATGATATGAATCTTAAAGACAAAATTAAGAATAAATAAACTAGTACAAAATATTCAAATATTGAACTAAAAATCTTCAAATTATTTTATTGGAATGATTTTTTAAATAGCATTTGAATGAATGTTGAGATGGAAGGAATGGGAAATCAGGAATGAAAAAGTTGGTTGGAGGTTGTTTTTCTTTTGAGAGGAGAAGAATTTGGGTGTTTAGAGGAAAATAAGAAATATTAATATTTCAAATGAAGAAAATTAAATGGTAATAACAATAGAATATTAGTAGCAATTACTATTTTTTGAGATTATGCTGTATCGTGATTACAATCTTTCATACATACGATTAAATTTTAGAAGACTCACTTGAATATACTAGAAAATATACACAGTAAGATTCATTTCTAAAAAGAATTACAAAAAAGGAAAGAATCAACAAGATGGGGCCTTGGCTCCTTGGGGGCCTAAGGCAATGGCCTTAGTGGCCTTACCCTTGAGCCGGGCCCCTCATTTTACTACCTACTCCCTCCTCCTCAGAACCCCCAACCCCAGTAAATTTTGGGTCTTGATTAGACATTGTATTGGACATTTATTAATGCTAAAGTTAGACAAGAGATATAAAAGCTTACCAAAAGAGTGAGGAGTATGGCCACAGCCAATACAGGGTACCAATTACACTGATGATTGTCACTCATGTGCTCTATTAGATCGTAAACCTTTACACAAAAGGCAATTGCAGGGCCAGTAATAAGGACTACGGACAGGAACAGAGATGCTGCATCAGGACCAAAAATAAACCTTCCACTGCAGAAAAATTTCTGGTATAGAATCAAGAAGAAAAGCTGCATTAGTTCAAGCAAGCCATTTTCCGGCAATGATTTTATGGTTTGCCCCAGGCCTATCTTCAAACAAAGGAATGATTCCTTAAACTTACATAAATATAAAACTTCAGGTGCTTGCTACCTATTTGTAATGTCGAAAACCAAAATAATAAGAACTAAAAGAGATCATACATTGCAAAACAAGTCTGGAAAATCAAACGGAGAAGTACACAAAGGCATCAAATTAGTAAGCACCCAACAAACCATGTTATGGTTAGTTCTGATTTTGGCTATATCCAGTGCAATATAAGAAGTAATAATATGATTTGTTTATCTTCTGTCTATCAGCCTATTTATCTACACTGGTTCATCTTTAGAAAACACAAATATCACTTTCGTCAAATAAAACAGACAATTTATTGACATTAAAATACCATTCTAACAATGTAGAGCATCATGAACCTAAAGTAAGTAGCTAAGCTGGTCTTTAATTCAAACCCAAGCTGAGAAATCACACATCATACAAAAGTTTATATTTTATAAAAGCTAAAAGGTATAAATATAAGCTTGCCGATTGAAATTTATCCTTGACAAAATTACATATATTACACGTCAACGACACTGCAAATAAAGTAAGTCAAACTAATTTTACCACCACGAAACATGAAATAAACTGAAAAATGGAACTATAATGAATAACAAGTGAATTAGAATTGGCAATTTTTTATGACAGTTCCACTAAAAAGATCGGGAAAACAAAAAAGGTACCCAAATCAACAAATTACAACTAGAGCAAACCCAATTCAGAGAGAGAGAGAGACTCACATTGCTTCCCTTCCAAGCTTGGTAGACCCTTTTGGGTTTATCCTGAGCCATAACCTTGAAGAACAGAAAGAACCCAGAATCTGATTTTCTCTTGTCGTCACAATCCCACTTCTTCCTCTTCCACAAAGTCCATAGTTCAAAGCAAAAAGAAAGACCCACCAAAAAAAAATTCAAACTTCACAAGCAAGAGAGAGAGACAGAGAGTCAGCTAAGCAAAAACTTTTCTCGTTTTTTGGGGATTATACCAAGACAACAAGATTCTCCTCTTGTCTCTCTTTCTCTCTCTTAATTCTCCTTTTTTTTTCAAATAAAATTTGTGTTTCTCTCTCCAAAACGCTGGCAACAATGAGTGAGTGCCTGTTTAGGCGGATGTTTCAATTTCTCGCGGCTTTTGTGAACTTAACGAACTCTTCACATTTATTATTATTATTTTTCTTTTGAATTTTTCATTTCTTGTTATTCCTTTGCTGTAAAGTACTATTTATGGCCTCAATTAATATATCTAAAACACATATTACATGGGTTTTCATTTTTTTCAGTTTTATGTTTTTTTATTATCTTTTTTTTTTAATTCAACACATACAACGTGCACTCACAACCCATTCTTCTTTGTGAAGTTGTCTTCACGCTCATTATCCTGGCCATCTACATATTTTCTTTTCTTTTATTTTCCGTAGCTTATTTCCTCCAAATTACAAGCTTTTTTGTTCTCTCTTCTTCTGTTTATTTCAAATATTCATGGAATTCCAAGAACAATGTGGCCTCCATTTTGCAAGACATTCAATATTGTTTGTAATCCAAATTAACACTAAATTTGAGCTATTTATGTGGATGTAGTAAGTAGCAACTATAACTTTTCCTCAATTCACATTCATAGACCAACTCAAGGCGACATTATGCGAGTAATATGTTCTTGAAAGAAATATTATTACTCTGTTTCTTTAAATGTATGTGTGAAAAGAGACTTCAAATGTAGTTTTTTCTTTACATTTTATTGCATAATTCTCAATGTCAGTAGCTATTTAAAACAAAAATCAAAATATGTTACTCGTATTGTTGAATTAGTCTAAACTCAGTTTAAGTGACACATGTTTTCCGAATTTAGAAATGATAATAGCTATTTAGGTCAAATAAAATAAATAAGAGTATAAGGGTGTCCTTTTTTCTTTTGGTAAATATCAATTACATAAATCAAAGTATAATTAGATGGTTACACATCTATATAGATACTCTTACATAGGACTAAGCTTTTATTACAAGCAAAAACCGCAAATAATAATAACATATATATATATATATATAATGACTAAGAATAAACAGCCTTTTCAAGGGTCATGCCAAGAGGCACTAATAATGGCGTGTACGATATACTAAGATCAACCACTATCCATATTCTCGCCCAACATTGTGTAGGCTGTTTCATTGGACATGAGTGAAGATCAAACACCTACCCTTTTGAAAGGAAGATGCTAAAAATTGGAAGCAAACATTGCATAATGCCAAGAGGCTCATTCTCATAATTAGGCATAAACTTGGCCAAAAAAATAGTTAAAGTAATTAGCACATCATAGTTAAGAAAAGGGTTAAACCTATCAATGAACCTAAGTATGATGTCTACCACGTCATGGAAAAATGTTGGTGGGCTATATGGGTTAGATTATGGAAAATTGTTGATGGTGTACATGATAAAATTCATGCTCTTAAGTCTTAGGGTGATCTCGTACCATTTGGATATGGAAACTGTTAAAGCTGTTTTAAAAGAAGAAGAAGAAAAAAAAAAAAGGTTATCATAATCTTGGTTATCAATTCCTCAAAAAAGAAATCATGGTTATCAATTAAATGTACGATAATTTTCTAGGTAGCCACTTCAAAAAAAAATATAGATAGCAATTATCAATTAAGGAAGAAGAGAAAAAAGAAGATGGGATTATGATGTAAATGTGTTTTTTCTTTCCGTAATTAATGTTTATAAATGTGGACATATAATGTAGGCCGTTTTCAAGATGTTGACTGAATTCTTGTTTGCATCTATTCGCGTTTGTGATACTTGGTTTTGTACCTATGGACCTTGTTAAAAATGTACATAAATAATAGAGCAGAATTGTTGGGAAGATCCTAACACATGTTTAAAGATTTACACAAGAATCATTCAAAGAAAGAACACATAATATTTTACCGAGGTTCGGATTTAAAGAATCCTACGTCCCCGTTGGGCTCACTTGCGAGAAACCCTTTCCACTAATTAAGAATTGATTACACCCTCAATCCTCGCTACTCTCAGAGATTACAAGGAAAAACAACTCAGAAAAGAAAATTGTACAGAGGAGACCCAACCACTAACGTGGTTCTCAGGAAAAATACCCAATGAGTAAATCAATCCCTTTACCTAGATTTTTCCAGTATCCAAACACAAAGAACAGATCTCTCACTACACCACAGTTTCTCTCTCTTGTTTCTCTCTCTAGAACTCTCTCTGAAAATACCTAAAAGTCACTCTCTGTTCTAATCTAAATAAGAAGAAGAAGACTTGTTAATATTCTAGAATTCTCTCCACCGACACTTGCTTCTCCACGTGTCACTTGATGAGTGGTGCTTTTAAATACTACACTGCGTTTTATTAAGTTGTTGAACAACCAAACGACAGCAAACATATATAATCAATTCTTCATGTCGTTAATTCTGGAATTACTCCTCACAACATTCCACCTTAATTTTTAAAAGACGACAATGTCGATTAACCCTGAGCTTTTCTCAAAGTTCATTGCCCTGACTTGATATAATCAAGTCTTGCCAATGCTCAGCAAGTCCAGACACTTCTGGAACTTGCTTGCAGTGACAACCTTAGTAGCCATATATGATGGATTTTCTTCTGTGCTGTTCTTCTCAAGCTCTATTGACCCTTCTTCAACTTTTTCCCTTATACAGTGATGTCATACATCAATGTGTTTTGTCTTTTCATGATACACTGGATTCTTGCAAAGGTGAATTGCTGACTAACTATCTGAATAAATCACATCAATTCCTTTCACTACTTTCAGTTCCTTTAATAAACCCTGAAGCCATATTGCTTCTTTAAAACCTTATGCTCCAGCTCTTCTTTGGTGCTAGATAGAGCAACTACTGATTGTAGTTGTGACTTCCAGCTAATGCAGTTCCCTCCTAGTGTCATTACATAAGCTGATGTAGACCTTCTCTTGTCCAGATCCCCTATAAAGTCAGAATCTACAAAGCCTTCCAAGTTCAAAGGGTTAGAACTTTGTTTATAAATCAAATTATAATCCAATGTATTATTAACATACTTTAAGACCCATTTTAGTGTTGTCTAATGTTTTTGTCTAGGATTAGACATGTATTTGCACAAAATACTTACTGCATAAGCTAAATTAGGTCTTGTGCAAATCATGGCATACATTAATGACCCTAAACACTAGAATAGGGAATCTTGGCCATTTTAAGCTTTTCTTCTTCTGTTTCTAGAGACTGTTTTGCAGAAAGCTTAAAATGACCAGCCAAGGGTACTTTAATAGATTTAGATTGATGCATAGAGAATTTTTGAACAACCTTTCTTAAATATTCTTCTTGAGACAAATACAAAAGTTTTTGTTTTCGGTCTCTTTTAATATCAATTCCTAAAATTCTCTTTGCATAACCTAAATCCTTCATATCAAATTCAGCACTTAGCATTTTCTTTACCTCATCAATTTTTGCTAAGTTCTTACTGGCAATCAGCATATCGTCTACATAAAGTATAAGATATACTGCATTGTTAGTATTAGTCCCCATAAAATACAAGCAGGAGTCATATTGACTCCTAATAAAGCCTGCTTTAATCATATGTTGATCAAATCGCTTATACTATTGTTTAGGGGATTGTTTCAACCCATATAGTGATTTCCTCAACAAACAGACTTTATGTTCACTACCTTTTACCTCAAAACCCGGTGGTTGATTCATGTAGATTGTCTCCTTGAGGTCATCATGTAGAAAGGCAGTTTTTACATCCATCTATTCTAGGTGCATATCTCTGTAAGCAACTACTGAGAGGATTGCTCTTATGGTCTTATATTTTACAACCGGAGAGAAGACTTCAGTGTAGTCAACCCTCTCAACTTGAGTAAAGCCTTTTGCAACCAACCTCACCTTGTGCCTCCTGGATTCTTGAGGTGTGGCTCCTTTCTTAATTTTAAAAATCCATTTGCAAGCTACTGCCTTTTGTTTCTTTGGCATGTCCACTAGAACCCATGTATTATTTTTCATCAAGGAGTGCATCTCCTCCTTCATGGCCACTTGCCATTTGTTGGCTTGTTTGCTGTTGACTACTTCCTCATAAGATTTGGGTTCTTTTGCTTCTATGTCTCCATCCATATTCAGTGCATAGGCAATCAAGTTGCCACCATCATATCTCTTTGGTGGTCTTATTGTTCTTCTCTCCCTATCTCGAGTCAGCATGTATTCTGACACACTTTCTGGGGGTTCTTGTGTGTGTTTAGTGAGACTTTCATATGTGGCATCTTCCGGCCCTTCAGTGGTTTGTTGTGGATCTTCAGGTTCAACTTCATCATCTTGATGTTTGGTTCCTCTAATATGTTCCACCTTAACTTGGAGGTCTTGTTTTAAAGTTGTACCTGCATCAAGTGAAAAAGAGCCAGCAGTATCCTTTCCCTTTTCAAGTAAGGCATGTCATATTCATTAAAAATCACATCTCAGCTATTAATTATTTTAAAATGAGGACCTTCTTGAATACACAGTCTATAACCCTTAACACTATCCTAAAAATATGCACTTTACTGATCTGGGATCTAGTTTTCCTTTTCTTTGGTATGCATAGGCAGCACAACCAAAGAGCCTAAGGCTACTTAGGTTTGGTGGTTTTTCAGTCCAACATTCTTGATGGGTTTTAAGGTCAATAGGTTTACAAGGACTCCTAATAATTAAGTAGCACACTGTAATTATAGCTTCCCCCCAAAATTTCTTACTTAGACCCGATCCAAAGAGCATGCACCTAACATGTTCCATTAGTGTTCTATTCATTCTTTCAGCTATCCCGTTTTGTTGTGGGGTCTTTTTGACCATTCTATGTCTAAGGATACCATTTTCTTTACAAAACTCGGTAAAGATGTCATGACAAAATTCCATGTCATTA